TTGTAGCCACTTTCAAGGGCTACTGGGGAGGCCAGCAGAGAGGGCACTCACCGCGGATCCAAACAGGACCTCGCCATCCCTGGGGGGCTGCGATCTGTGACATTGCAGCCACTTTCGAGGGCTACTGGGGAGGCCAGCAGAGAGGGCACTCACCGCGGATCCAAACAGGACCTCGCCATCCCTGGGGGGCTGCGAACTGTGAAACTGTCGCCACTTTCGAGGGCTGCTGGTGGGTCCTGCGGAGTGAGGCACCGCGCGGACCTGTGCGGGACCTCGCCGTCCCTGGGGGGCTGCCATCTGCGAAACTGTCGCCCTTTTCGAGGGCTGCTGGTGGGTCCTGCAGGGTGAGGCACCGCGCGGACCTGAACGGGACCTCGCTGTCCCTGGGGCGGCTGCGATCTGCGAAACTGTCGCCACTTTCGAGGGCTGCTGGTGGGTCCTGCGGAGTGAGGCACCGCGCGGACCTGGGCGGGACCTCGCCGTCCTTGGGGGGCTGCGATCTGCGAAACTGTCGCCACGTTCGAGGGCTGCTGTTGGGTCCTGCGGAGTGAAGCACTGCGCGGACCTGAGCGGGACCTCGCCGTCCCTGGGGGGCTGCGATCTGCGAAACTGTCGCCACTTTCGAGGGCTGCAGGTGTGCCCTGCGGAGTGAGGCACCGCGCGGACCTGAGCGGGACCTCGCCGTCCCTGTGGGGCTGCGATCTGCGAAACTGTCGCCACTTTCGAAGGCTGCTGGTGGGTCCTGCGGAGTGGGGCACCGCGCGGACCTGAGCGGGACCTTGCCGTCCCTGGGGGGCTGCGATCTGCGAGCGTGTCGCCACTTTCGAGGGCTGCTGGTGGGTCCAGCGGGGTGAGGCACCGCGCGGACCTGAGCGGGACCTCGCCGTCCCTGGGGAGCTGCGATCTGCGAAACTGTCGCCACTTTCGAGGGTTGCTGGTGGGTCCTGCGGAGTGAGGCACCGCGCGGACCTGAGCGAGACCTCGCCGTCCCTTGGGGGCTGCGATCTGCGAAACTGTCGCCACTTTCGAGGGCTGCTGTTGGGTCCTGCGGAGTGAAGCACTGCGCGGACCTGAGCGGGACCTCGCCGTCCCTGGGGGGCTGCGATCTGCGAAACTGTCGCCACGTTCGAGGGCTGCTAGTGGGCCCTGCCGAGTGAGGCACCGGGCAGATCTGAGCGGGGCCTCGCCGTCCCTGGGGGCTGCGATCTGCGAAACTGTCGCCACTTTCGAGGGTTGCTGGTGGGTCCTGCGGAGTGAGGCACCGCGCGGACCTGAGCGGGACCTCGCCGTCCCTGGGGGGCTGCGATCTGCGAAACTGGTGCCACTTTCTAGGGCTGCTGGTGGGTCCTGCGGAGTGCGGCACCGCGCGGATCTGAGCGGGACCTTGCCGTCCCTGGGGGGCTGCGATCTGCGAAACCGTCGCCCTGGTGGGTCTTGCGGAGTGAGGCGCCGCGCGGACCTGAGCGGGGCCTCGCCGTCCCTGGGGCTGCGGTCTGCGAAACTGTCGCCACTTTCGAGGGCTGCTGGTGGGTCCTGCGGAGTGAGGCGCCGCGCGGAACTGAGCGGGACCTCGCCGTCCCCGGGGGGTTGCGATCTGCGAAATTGTCGCCATTTTCGAGGGCTGCTGGTGGGTCCAGCGGGGCGAGGCACCAGGCAGATCTGAGCGGAACATCGCAATCCTTGGGGGGCGGCGAGCCTCACGAATGCCGCTCGCAGAAGTAGATGCGCCAATGCCACGTTATCACCTCCGTATAACGTCTCCCAAGCTACTCATGCCCCGCATTGCGCAGGGGTAGGGTACGTCGCCAGGGTAATTTACTTCTAGGTAAAACTGTAAGCATGTTTATCAAATTCACATTCGTCGCAGTATGGGTATTTCCGTTATCGCTACTACTACCGTTCGTAGTGGTACTATTATTATTTGAATTACTGCTACTACTACTACTAGACTACTACTGCTACTACTGCTACGACTGCTACTACTACTACTACTACTACTACTACTACTACTACCACTACTACCACTACTGATACTCCCATTTAGTACTGCCAACATTACTACGAATACGATTTACAACTACTACGACGACGACGACTACTACTACGACAGTTGCTACTAGTATTTTACTTTTACTATTACTACTACTACTACTACTACTACGAATACGAATACGAATGCGAATACTACTAGTACTACTAGCACTACTAGTACTACTACTACTACTACTACTACGACTACTACTACTACTACTACTACTACTGCTGCTACTACTACTACTACTATTACTACCACGACTACGACTACGACTACGACTACTACGACGACTACTACTACTACTACTACTACTGCTATTACTACCACCACCACCACTACTACTACTTCGACTACGACCACGACTACGACTATGTGTCCACCACCACTATTAGTACAATTATTTGTATTACTACTACTACTACTACTACTACTACTGCTACTACAACTACTACAACGACTACTGCTGCTACGATTTTTATTACTACTGCTACCACTACTGCTATTCATACGACTACTCCTACCACTACTACGACTACTTCTACTACTACTGCTACTACTACGACTACGAATACTACTACTAATACTACTACGACTACTACTACTACTCCTACTACTACTACTACTGCCACTATCACTACTACTTCCGCTACCACGACTACTGCTTCGTCTACCCCGATTACTATTACTACGACTTTTGCTACTACTACGACCACTGCTAGTATTACTAGTACCGCAACGGCTAGTACATCTTCTACTCTACGACGACGACGACTACTACTACTACTACTACTACTACTACTACTACTACTTCTACTACTACTACTACGGCTACTACTACTACTACTACTACTACTACTACTACTACCATGCCTACTGCTACTACTACTACTACTACTACCACTACTCTGCTTCTAGCACAACTACTACTACTACTACTACGACTACTACTACTACTACCACTGCTACCACGACGACTACTACTACTACTACTACTACTACTACGACTACTTCTACCATTACTACTACTCTTACTACTACTACGACGACGACGACGATTTCTGTTACTACTAGTACTGCTACAACGGGCACTACTACTACTACCACTACTACTACTACTACTACTACTACTACTACTACTACTACTTCCACTACTACTACTACTACTACTACTACCACTACTGCTACTAGTACTACTGCTGCTGCTGCTACTACTACTACTACTACTTCTACTACTCCTACTACTACCACTGTTACTACGACTACCACTGGTACCACGACCACTACTACCACTATTACTACTACTACTACTACTACTACTACTACCACTACTACTACTACTATCATTACTACTACTTTTTTCTTCTACTACTACTATTACTACTACTACGACTACGACTACGACTACTACCACTACTACTACTACTACTACTACTACTACTGCTACTACTACTACTACTACTACTACTACTACTTATTCTACTACTACTACTACTACTACTGTAACAACTACCACTCCTACTGCTACTGCGACTACTACTACTACTACTACTACTACTACTACTATACTACTATACTACTACGACCGCCAGTACTACTATACTACTACTACACTACTACTACTACTACTACTACTACTACGACGATTACAACTACAACTACTACTACTACTACTACTACTACTACTACTACGACTACTCCTACTACTACGATTTCTACTACTACTAATACTACTACTATTACTACAACTACTACTACTCGTACTATTTCTACTACTACTACTACCACTACTACTAATACTACTACTACTACTCCTACTACTACTACTACTACTACTACTGCTACTACTACTACTACTACTACCACTATTACTGCGACTACCACGTGTACCACTACCACTACTACCACTACTACTGCCACTACTAGTACTACTACTACTACTACTGCTACTACTACGACTACGACTACTACTAACTAAGATTACTACTACTACTGCTACTACTGCTACCAGTACCTCTACTACCACTGCTACTACTACTACTACTACTACTACTACTACTAACACTACTATTACGACTACTACTACTACTACGACTACTACTACAACTTCTACTACGACTACCAGTACGACTACTACTACTACTACTACTACTACTACTACTACTACTACTACGACTACTACTACTACTACTACTACTACTACGACTACGACTACGACTACCACTACGACTACTACTACTACTACGACTACTACTACTACTACTATTACTACTACTATCACCATTATTACTACTACTACTACTACTACTACTACTACTGCTACTACTACTACTACTACTACTACTACTATTACTACTACTACTACTCTGCTACTACTACTACTACTACTACTACTACTACTACTACTACTACTACTACTACTACTACTACTACTAATGCTACTGCTACTGCTACTGCTACTGCTACTGCTACTACTAGTACCTATCCATCCCCTCCTCCTCCGCCTCCTCCTCCCCCTCCTCCTCGCTCCTCCTCGCTTTCCTTTGCTCCTACTACTCGCTCATCCTCCTTGCTCCACCTCCTGCTCCTTCTCCCTTCCTCGTTCGCCCTCCTCCTTCTCCTCCTCCTCCTCCTCCGCGTTCTTCCTCCTCCTCCTCGTTCCTTTCCCTCCCCCTCCTTCTGTCCTCCTCCTCCCGTCCTCCTCCTCCTCGTCCTCCTTTTCCTCCTCCTCCTCCTCTCCCTTTTCCTCCTCCTCCTCCTCTCCCTGATTTTCCTCGCTTCTCATCCTCCTCCTCCGCATCGTTCCTCCTCCTCCTCGTTTATCATCTTCCTCCTCCTCCGCCTCGTTCCTCCCCCTTTTCCTCGTCCTCCTCCTCCTTCTCCTCCTTTCCTCCTCCTGCTCGTCCACCTCCTCCTCCTAGTTCACTCCCCCTGTCTTTTTCCCCCCCCCCCCCCGCTCCGCGGCAAGGACCGGATCCGGGACCGCAAAGGCCGCTTCGGCGAACGGGCTGAGGCGCTGAGCCGCGCGCTGGAGGCGGAGCAAGCGGTGGCGCTGGAGGCCCTCTCGCGGGCGCCGACCGATCCGCAGGGTGGCACAGTGGCCTCCGGAGCGAAGCGAGGAGGAGAAGCGAGCAGGAGGAGTAGCGCGAAGGAGGAGCGAGGAGGAGCAAGGAGGAGAAGGAGGAGCGAGGAAGACGAGGAGGAGGACGGCGACCAGTGGAATAAACCCTCCTTCCTATATCCCTCTTCATAGGCCCTAGCATCGGCTCATCTCCACTGGGACTGCTTCGTTGGAAGGCAACCGTTCGAAGACCCCGAAGCATGCCAAGTTCATCGTCCTCGTTGGTTAGTGCGACGGTCTCTGCCCTGCTCACCGCAGCCGCCGTTTTTGCACAAGCCGGTGTTGGCGCGCGCGCGCGGCTCGGGCGCGCGCGAGGCCCGCGCGCGCGGAGCAGTCCTTCGCCCTCGTCCGTCGAGCTCTTCCCGCGGAGGCCCAGGGCGGCCCCGTGGGTTCCGCTGGCCGAGCGGAGGCCCGCTGGGCTGGGCTGCCGGTGCGGCCTCGAGAAAGGTGAAGCTCCCTCCCGCGGGGAGGAAGCCCCCGGAGGGCTCGCGCTCGGGCTGTGCGCGCGAAGCGTGCTGGCGCGGGGCGCGGGGGCGGTCATTCCCGTGCCGGTGGCGGCTGCGCTGGCAGGCTTGGCGATTGTGGCGGAGGCGGCCGTGGTCATCGCGGGCCTGGCGGCCGCGGCGGAGGCAGGCAGCCAGCGGGGCACCGGGGCCGCCGAGGCCGCTCGGTAAGGCCTAGCCCAGCCCGCCGCGGCCGCGCGGCTTCCGAGTGGCACTCAGGGATATACCCGTCGATCCCGCAGTCGGCGTTGCAGGGGGTCGTCGTGGAGGTCGAGCTCCGGGGGCTCGCGACCTTCAGGCTGGTCGGTCGAGCTGTCCAGGTACACGGACGGCTCGGCCAACGAGCCACGCCAGAAGGGGTTCATTTCTGCGTTCGAGGTGAACTATCGTGGCGCGGGGGATCTTCGCGACATCGCGGAGATGGAGCGGGCCTTCATCGGGCCCGACGAGGACTCGCGGCTGCCGGTCATGCACTTCCGCGCGGGGGGGAGAAACGGAGGCGCCGAGGGAGGAGCAGGCGACGCCGCTCTTGTCAGTGCCGCCGCGGCAGCAAGAGCAGCAGCGGAGGCAGCTCGGGGTCGCATTTTACGGGCGCCTGACTCTCCGCGCGGGGCCGCGCCGATCGCGCGGGGAAAAACGCGGTGGTCGACGACGCCGACCCGGCGTTCGTCACGTACCTCGCGAGCGCGTTCATCCCGAGCACGGACGCTGTCTCGTCGAGGAACGACCAGGAGATGCACGTCGTCGCGGCCGCTGTGGACTGCGTCCTCCTTGGCGACATGGCGCGCGCGACGGACGTGCTGGCCCAGCAGTTCAAAGAACGTGGAGCACCTGCGCTACAACGGTGGCAGCTGGGAGGCGGCGAGGCACCTCGGCGTTGTCGAGGGCGGCAAGGCCTCGGTCATGGATGGCAAGGAAAAGGAGGCGATCTACCTCGACGAGCGGGCCGACATGAGGATGCAGCGTCTCCAGCAGCAGGTGCAGGGAGGGCGGCGCTCCGCCGCTTGCTGACACGCACCCTAGGCTGGGTCCCCAAATCCGGAGGCTCAGTCGAGGGCTCCTCGATAGGGGGAGGGGCGGAGCGCCGCCACCTTGCTGCGACGCCGAAGCGAGGGGCCCGCGGCTCCTTCGACCGCGGCGCAGGCGCGAGGTCCAGGAGCCCAGTCCTCCTGGGGACGGAGGCGGACATGTTGGAGTCTCCTCGAAGGCCCCCGTCTCCGTTTTGCAGCCCGCCAGGCCGCCGAGTGTAGTTCGAGGGTCAGGCAGAGCGAGTTCGCTGCGACCCTGGCAGCCCCGAGAGGGCGGCGCGCCGCGAGGCCAACGGTTGCCCTCCATGTCAAGATCACGGCGACAGCGTTCGGCGACCGACGACGCCGCCACGCGAGGGTGGCAAGCGGGGCAAGAAGGGAGGCAAGGGCAAGATCTGGCTGCGCCCGGGCCCAGCCCACTACTGAAGCTCCCGCCAGGCGAAGCGATCGAAGGCAAAGGGCGACGGGGGGGCTGGGCGGCGGGCGCCGGCCCCGCTAGCCGCCCTTCCGCTGTGCGCCGTGACGCCGCCCATGGGAGGAGGGTTGTGTCGTGTGCGTGTGATGGCACCGCGACTGACCTTCGCCCTGTCGGGCGTTCCTCCGCGGGTGGGTCCCCGCGCCCCTTCCCCTGACCTTCCTCCGCCGCAGCCTCGTCGAGGGCCACTAGAGTCTGGCCGTGCTCAACGGCGGGGGGAAGTGGCGCTGCGGGGCCCGGCGCCGCCGCCGCATCGGCTCCGCGCGGCAACTCTCTTGGGCCTTCGCCGTTGGAGGCCCGGTGATCTCGCCTCTTACTTCAGCTGGTGCAGTCCTGCGATCTTGGGCAGCTGGGCCAGGCGCTGCGCGCTGGCCTCTTGCCCGGCACTGCAGGTGGCGGTTTGTGCGCCGCGGCGCCTCGCGGGAGCGGGGGGGGCCAGTCTCGCCCTCGCCCTGCCTATGCACGTGTTCGATACCCCCCCCCTCTTCGTATCGGAGGATATCGACCGGTGCCAGGCCTATCGGGGTCATGCGAGGCATCGCTGGCTGGCAGGGCGCAGGCGTCTGGAGCAGGCCCCAAGTGGGCTGGGCGCGTGGCTGGCTGGAGCCATGGTGTCCTTGAACACGCTCAGGGTTCGCGGTGCACCGACCAGTCCAGAGGTGTCTTGGCAAGCCAGGCCGGGTCACCGTCTGTCAGGTCCAGGTTTTGCAGATTGTCGAGAGGCGAGTCGAGAGGTTCCTGGGCCCCGCGCCCCAGCTGTTTCCGCGGTTCCCTGCCCCGGAGTTCCTCGCCACCCGCGACGCTGCGTGCGACGGCGGCGAGGTGCGGCGCGCGGAGACCACCAGCTGGGAGCAGGCTCGAGGAGCGCTGCCGCCCTTCGGCAAGTGCGCAGCGCTCGACATCCTCGACCTCCGCGACGACCGCGTGCGGGAGTGGTTCCTCAATCCCACGGGCACGCTGGTCGTCTTGGAAGGCGTCGAGGAACGGCCTCGCCCAGGGAAGGGCATGCGCGGGGAGTCGTCTCTCCCGCCGCTGGCCAGAGGCCTTCTCGACAGGGGGTTGGTCGAGCCGCTGCGCGAAGCCGACCTCGTCCTGGCAGTGGGCAAGCCGCTCCTCGGCCGAAGGCGATCCCCTTGGCACGGAGGCCCTGGTGTTCATTATGAACTTGACCGCCTCCAACAGCGTCAGCATCGAGCACGGGCGCGACATCGGCGCGCCCCCATTCCAGGCCCAGTGGCGCTCGATCGTCGCGGGCCCCAGCGAGGAGCTGGTCTGGTCGTGCGATGACTTTAAGGGCGCCTTCTACATGTTCGGGCTGCACTCCTCGTGTGCCCCGCCCCTTGCCTTCGACGTCGCGTTCAGCCCGTCAGACCTCCATCTCGGAGGGGGGTGGGGCCCTGGGCCTGTCTACCTCGGGGCGGTCGCCATGCCCATGGGGTGCCAGAGCGCGATGGGGCTGGTCCAGTACGTGCACCGTCGCACGCTGGCGGCCCACTGTTTCTCCGAAGCTGGCCTTTCTCGCGATCGCGAGATCAGGAGGGGCCGCGCAGTTCCGGCCCTGGTGTCAGGGTCGAGGGCTTTAAGGAGCTTGCGGCACGTGTGCTGCGACGACACCGACTACGCCGCGCTCGCGCGGAAGCTCGCAGCGATCGAGGCATCTGCTTTCGCGCAGGCCGCGACGTCCATTTTCCGCGACCTCGGCGCGCTGCTCAGCGCCAAGAACGGCGCGCAGGTTCAGGGGGGCAAGCGGCTCGGGCAGCTGGTGGGCGGCCGGGATGGCCGCGCGAGGCTGCCCCCAGAGCGCGCGGCCCAGTTGGGCCAGCTCGCGGCCTACTTGCTCACGGGGGCAGCGACGCTCAAGGAGCTGAGGGTCGCGATGGGGCACTGGTGCCACGCTGGGACCTTGCGGTGTGAGCGCGCGACGGTGCACGCCCGAGTCTGGCGAGCCATGCTCTCATGGCCGACTCGAGGGCAAGCTCGCCTGCCCGGCGCCGTTGCCTACGAGCTCGCGCATGGCCTGCGCTTGCTGCCCCTCCGCGAATTCGACTTCCGCGCGGCCGTGGACAGCGCCGCCGCGAACGGCGACGCTTCGCAGACACGCGGTGGCACCCGCTATGCGCGGCTCCTCAAGCCTGCGTTTCCGCCGTCCTTTCTGTGCGAGCTGGCTCACACTCGCGGGCGTTGCCGCGACGCCGCGGGGCTCATTGCGCTCTTCGCTAGCACCGGAGGGTCGCGCATGGCCTTCGAGCGCCTTGGGGTCGACCTCGCCGTGCACGCAGCCGCCGAGATTGACGAGCCCACGCGGCGCGTCCTCAAGGCCAGGTGGCCCGATGCCAATCTGTTCGGCGACGTGCGCTCCATCGCCCTGCATGACGTCGAGCAGCAACTGGGCATGGCGCCCCGCCTCCGCGTCGTGTTCGTGACGGGAGGTCGTCCGTGCCAGGGCGTCGCGCGAGTGAACGTGGAGGCTAAGGGTTGGCAAGAGGATCGCACTCGCCTCGTCGCCGAGATCCCGCGCGTCGCCGCGCTGTTGCGCGAGGCTGCGCCGCCCTTACCTGTCTTGGGGCTAGCGGAAAATGCGGCTTCGATGGCAGTGAACGACAGGGAACAGTTGAGCTCCCTGCTGCGCTTCGTGCCCCTTGAGCTCTGCCCCCATGAGTGTCGTCCAGTCAAGTGGCCGAGGCTCTATCGGGTCGCCTTCCCTCTGCGCCGTTCCCCGGAGTTCAGCTGGGAGGTCAGTGCCGGGGTCGCCAAGGCAAGGCCCCGAGGGCCATGACCGGGCAGGTCTGAGCAGCTGCAGGAGGGCGCCGAGCGGCCGCGAGGAGAGAGGACGAGCCTTGAGCGACGTTCATGCGCCCGATCCCTCGCGCCAGGCCGCCCGCGGCCCCATCGGGCAGGAAGGCTGGGCCCGTTGCGGCGAGAGGCGCTGGGAGGCAGATGGCATCAGATATCCGCCGCACCACTACAAGTTGGAGAACTGGGCGCAGGCGAGGGGCGGGGCTCTTCGGCCCGCGCGCAGCCACGAGGGGCGCGCGCGCCCGGGCTTCCCTCAGAGGCACCGCGCGCCCGCAGTGCCGAGAAGTTGGGCCGCAGCGAGGAGGCCGAGGACATTTGGTGCGGCCTCTGCGGCAACAGCTTCTCGGTCCCGGCCGTGGCCTTTCTCCTGGGGCGTGGCCTCGTCTCGCGCGGCCTCCTCGACGAGCCGCCCAGTCTGGCGCAGTGCTGGGGCGACCCCGACTGCGAGGATCGCGCCTTCCTCAGCGACCTGGGCGGCAAGGACTTCAGCGAGCTCACGATGCCGATGTTTATCGCGTGGCCTGTGAGTCCACGGCGCGGTCAGCGGCCTGCATGGTCTCCGACGCGCGGCTCGCTACCCGCACCCCCCTCAATCCCTCGAGCTAGCCGAGGAGGGGCGTCGAGGCCCATGGGTGGCGCTGGCGCGTCTGTCTTAATTATCCTCACTCCCCGGAGCGCCGCGCGCGCATCGTCGCGCTGGAGATGGAGGCCTTGACGGCGACGTTCAAGTGGCGCAGCCGAGGGGCTGGGCGCCTGCAGGGGCGCGTCATCCACTTTTGCGACTTCCTGGTGCGCATCGCCGTCGCCTGCAGGGGTCGCTCGTCATCCTTTCTTGCTGCAACGCCTGCTGTCTCGCCTGTGTGCCCTGCTGCTCGCCACCTTGTGCTATCCGCACAGCGCGCGCGCGGTTGGAGCTGAATCCGGCCGATGCCCCCAGCAGATGGCGGGCATGGGCGCCCTCGGAGGCGCGAAGAGGCAGCGGCATGTGGCGAGGGCGAAGGCAGGCAGCTCGCGATCACTGCAGCCTCAACCTGCGACCCCCAAGCGCCACAGGGAAGACGTCAACTTATTCTTCGGATGGTTCGAGCGTGTCGGCGAGCAGCTGCCGTCGAGCGTTGAGGCCACCGACGAGATGATTTGAGAAATTACGGAGGAATGCTGGTCAGTGGACGATCCTCGCCCTCTTGTCGGCGACACCATGTCTGGCATCCAGCGCTTCGTCCCCCAGTTCTGTCGTGGCCTCAGCGACGCTTGGAGGCTCTATGGCACGCGGTGCAGGAACCAGGTCCCCTCAGGGGCGAGGCCGCTGCAGGCGCAGCAAGTCCTTGCTATCGCCGGCTACGCCCTGGGGGAGGGTTACCCCAGCATGGCGGCTGGCCTGCTGGTCGCTTTCAACGGCTTCCTTCCGCCGTGCGACCTCATGCTGAGCTCTGGGCAGGGCACCTGCCACGCCAACCCCGGCCTCGCAAAGACTGGCAAGCGGGCAGGGATTCCCGAGCACATCATCATTTACGACCTCGAGGTTGCGCGCCTGTGTGCCCGCGCGCTGGCTGGCCGCGCTAAAGGCGAAGCCCTGTCCCCTCGCAGGCCGCCCTGCTTCCGCGAAGGTTTCCGACGGCTGTTGGTCAAGATAGGTGCTGACCCCCAGAGGCACGAGCTTTGCAGCCTCAGGCGAGGCGGCGCCACCCATCGCTGGCAGGCGCTGGGCAGCTTGACCCGCGCTACGCTGCGGGGCAGGTGGCGGCGCTGGCAGACCTGCCGCATTTTCATTCAGGATGGCGTCGCGATGCTGTAGCAAGGAGGGGGAGGGAGGAGGAGGAGGAGGAGGAGGAGGAGGAGGAGGAGGA